CCAGGTTGGACAGGGCTTGGAGCAACCTGGGCTAGTGGAAGGTGTCCCTGCCCAGGGCGGGGGTGGGACTGGATGGGTTTTAAGGTCCCTTCCAACCCACTTCTACAATGCTCTGACTTACAATGACTTTTAAACAACCAAGAGATCCAGGCCTCGAGTTTACTTTATCTTAGCTTCAAATCTGTCTGATGGCATCACTTAACAAGAGATTCAAGTGAGGAGTTTTTGGGAGAGAGTGGAAGCATTTGGTGAAATAAATTTTTTGACAATAAACAAAATAATAAATTGGAATGTCTTAGTTAATGTGTTGCAAAATTTGGAATACTGTCTCTTCTTTTTAAATTCAGAAGGTCATAAAATTTGCCAGATAACTTTGAAATGCAAAGAGTAGCAGGTTTATTTCTGCATTTTGTTGAATAAAGCTACATGGAATCACTTTTTTTTTATTTAAATACCATGGGGCACTGTGAGCTGGTGCCCTTGGAATGCAAAGTAGGGAAACACTTAGATTAGAACAATTAGTGCAAAAAACATCTGCATCCCTTGTTAACCATAGGGACTGTCTAGCAAAAGGATTTTTTTTTTTACTGTTAATTGGAATTCATTAAAATAACTTTGCTTCAAAGTAAACATTAAAGCCATTTCTGAGCTTTTTATTTTCATGTTTACCTAGGCAGGTTCCATCTGGTTTAGGCTCCTCTGAACAACAACAACTTGGAGCAAGAGACTGGACTTTTAAAGGAATCACTGCTGGAAGCTTAAAGTATCAGCTGCTCTCAAAGTCAAGCCTCGCTGCTCCCAGGTCATTGCTGTGACCTAAAGTGACACTGTGGGGTCACAGGAAGGCTCCTGCATTGTGAGACCATGTGGGAGCATTATTTTAGGAAGGAATTCTTCCCTGTGAGGGTGGGGAGGCCCTGGCACAGGTTGCCCAGAGAAGCTGAAGCTGCCCCATCCCTGGAAGTGTCCAAGGCCAGGTTGGATGGGGCTTGGAGCAACTTGGGCTAGTGGAAGGTGTCCCTGTCCATGGCAGGGTGTGGGACTGGATGTCCTTTAAGGTTCCTTCCAACCCAAACCATTCTGGGATTCCACGATTCTAAAAAGAACTGTGATGTTCATCCAATCAGTTACACAACAGGATGTTTTTGTAATAGGAGGGTTAGAAATGTTTGAGAGAGCTGCTAACACACAGACACACACAGAGAGAGAGAGAGAGAGAGAGAGAGAGAGAGAGAGAAAGAGAAAGAAACATCTTACTAAAAGGCCTGAATCATCTCAAAGTTCTTTAGGCTGGAGGCACTTCAGGAAATTGTTCATTGTAGATGCAGCTGGAAAGAGCCAAGGGGCTGGAAAGGCCCCGGGGGTGGGTTAAAGGGTGAATGTATCTTTAGGGAACCCCTTCACTTGCTGCAGTGAAACACTGGCAGCTCTGACAGTGCCTGAGGATTCCCACAGTCCAACATGGCCTTATAAAGGCTATTAAGGAGGCATCACTTATTACTATAAAATAAAAACATTCCTGTGGAGACATAAGATGAAGAAGTCCCTTCTCCTGGGTGGCATTTAAGTGTCACACCTCTGATGTTGGCTGTCTGCCCTTCCCAGGCTTTGGAAAGCACAGAGACACACACATGGGAATGTGGAGCTGGGGAATCACTGGTGATGTGACCTCGGTGACTTTACAGTGGTGCCAGTGATGCTCCTGGTGAAAGGATGCTCTCAGTGTCCCTTGATAAGCTGTGCTGGGACAACCAGGGAAGTTTTGTCTCTGTCTTTGCAGTGTTTCACCTGTCACACATCAGGGCTGCACAGAACAAGTCATTTGCAGAGGATGGACCCCATGTCTGCTGCTGCTCCAAACCTGCCTCCTTTTTCCCTGTGCCACCTTCAGGAATCCCAGCGAGGGCTACCCCAAGGCTCAGATGATGCAGGTGAGATTTAAGCAGAAAACAGCTCTCCCAGCTCTCCATCCCTGAGTGCTGGTGACTGAGCCCCTGGAGGCTGCTGCTCCCCTACCTCTGAATGTCAAGGATAAAATTCCACTCTAGAAGGATAAAATCCTCCTGGCTCTGTCCCTGCTCAGCTCCACCCACCTTCCAAACTCCCTCTTGCTCTCCACTCACAGAGATCTCGTTTTCCCACCACTCTGACAATAAGGATATGCTCCCAGCAATCCTTTCCCATCACTGGTGCTGGGATGTGAGCCTTGCAATATTCCTTGCCTTGCAATCTCCACAATGGGCAGGATATGCCATCCCCAGCTTTCCATCAAGCAGCACAAAGCATTTACAGCAGCAGTCCTCACAAAAAGTGCTGAAAAGTGACAAAATATTAGTTCTAATTCCTTTCTGGATGACACATTATAACAAGGGTATTAGCTGAGGTTTCCAATTTTCCTGGTTGCTGTGATTTAGGAAACCAATGTAAAGATTTCCAGACACTGCATATGAATAATTTACCACTTGCTCAATTCATCTTTGAAAAGCTTCCCTATTTTACCAGGATCAAACAAATGTCACACCACCTTGTCACATCCCATCACAAAAGCAAATGAGTAAATTTATCGTTAAAAGACATTTAAAGACAAGTTAATGCCCAGTAAATCTCAGAATATGGATCGGAAGGTGTGAGAGCTGCGAACCTGTGTGTGTATGAGATGCAAACTTCCCATGCCTGGTGGGGTGAAAGACTGTGTGACAAGGGTGGGACTTCTCCCATTACTGCTGATTTAGGCTGAAAATCCAATGAAACTGCTTAACACTGGGCTCTTTAAAATCAGAAGTGTCATTATGAGTTGAAATAAAGGTTTAGAGCCCACTTTTACTTCTTATCTCCAGAAGTGTTGACATTTATGAATAAGGATTTGGGGACGGAAGTATGTCGTTGGCAAGAGGGCATTTCACAGGAGGACCCTGCAGTCAAGGAGAAGCCAAAAAGTCAAGAGCAAGATGAGGGTGAATGGAGACATTTGCTCAGAGGCATTTTAAATAGCACTTTCTCCTGAGAAACGAGGACAGGAAGGGAATTCATACCCAGCAGGCTGGCAGTGGTCAGTTTTATGGAATCACAGGCTGGGTCAGGCTGGAAGAGACCACAGTGGGGCATCTGGTCCCACCTCCCTGCTCAGGCAGGGCCATCCCAGAGCACACGGCACAGGACTGTGTCCAGATGGTTCTGGAATATCCCCAGGGAGGAGACTCCACACCTTCTCTGGACAATCTGTTCAGTGCCGTGTCACTGCACAGCAAAGAGGTTCTTCCTCATGTTCAGGTGGAACTTCCTGGGCATCAGTTCCTGCCCGTTCCTCTTGTCCCATTGCTGGGCCCCACGGAGCAGAGCCTGGTCCATGCTCTGGCCCCTCCCTACAGACACTGACAGACATTGGGGAGGTCCCCTCTCAGTGTCTCCTCTGGAGGCTGAACAGACCCAGCTCCCTCAGCCTTTCCTGGTCAGGGAGATGCTCCAGCCCCTTCAGCATCTCCGCAGCCTCTGCTGGACCCTCTCCAGGAGCTCCCTGTCCCTCCTGTCCCGAGGAGCCCAGACCTGGACACAGCACTGCAGATGTGCCTTCCCAGGGTAGGATGCAGATGTGCCTTCCAGGATCATCTCCCTGACCTGCTGGAAATACTCCTCCTAATGCACCCCAGGAGATATTTGGTGACTGATATTTGATCCATATACACTGGTACAGGATCACTGACATTCAGAGAGGCAAAATCACCTTTTTTGTTCCAGCACAACTTTCCCACCGTGATGATTCAACACTTCACAGTGAAACTCTGGTTGCTGGAAGCCTTCAGAATGGATTTAGTGTTGTATCATTAGAGGGCTCTAATTCAGTGGGAGAGGAGACATTTGAAACATCACCTTGGATTTGCACCTGGTTGTTATTGCTTGAACTCAGAGACAGCCAAGGTTCTCAGGAAATCTGCCTGGGGAGAGGTCTGAGAATGCAGCTGTGGCTGTAAACAGCAAAGCCAGGCACTTCCCAGGGTGTAACAGCCCTTTGCATTCACCAGAGCATCCTACCTGTCATTAATTTTACAATAGCAGGAAATGGAGAAGTAAAACCCTTGCTTGGAGATTAATGCTCGGGAGCTCAGTGCTAAGCATTATTTACCCATAAATAAAATTATACTGTAGTCTCAGAGTCTGCAGTGCTTCCATTACTGCCTTCCCTGCAGCCGGATGGGATCCTGCTCAAACACTCCCACACGGGGCTGGCTGCCTGTGCCTTCCCGATGTTCCCTGGGAAGCAGAGAGAGAGATCTCACTGCAAGGGCTGAGCAGAATTAATTGTGGCTTGTTATTTCTCAGAAAACTGTAGGAATTCGGGAGTGTCTTGGAGGGAGGGGTGTCCTGTCTACCCCGATCCCATCTTGTCCCAACTTGTCCAGCCTTGATGCATTGGCAGAGCAGCACTGACAGGAGGGCAGAGCTGTGTGAGGGTCAGTCTCTTCTCCCAGGTAATAAGGATCAGGACAAGAGGAGACAGTCTCAAGCTGTGCCAGGGGAAGTTTAGGTTGGACACCAGGAAGAATTTCTGGAAAGGGTTGTTAAACAGTAGCACAGCTGCCCAGGGCAGTGGTGGAGTCCCCATCCCTGGAGGGACTTAACAGATGTGTAAATGTGGCACTTGGGGATGTTGAAACCGTGGGCTCTTCGAATTCAAGCACATTCACCTTCATCCTTTGATCTCCTAAAGCCACTTACCCAAAGCTTCTCACCCCGGATTTCCCTCTGTAGGGTTGAGGCTTCTCTGTTCAGTTCAGTTCCAGGGAATCAGGGGATTCAGGGACCTGACCCCATCTCCCTGAATGAAACATTTATAATTTTTACTTTGTACTTAAACTCCTTTAATTCATTATTTCTGCAAGGCTGAAATTTGTTTTAAAATAATAAGTTGAATACATCTGCAGCTGAGAATATTTGGCTGCCAATGCTTACACAGACTATTGAGGGAAGTTTTTTAAAATAACAGCTTTTTCAGACTTCAGCAGCATAATTAAACATATGCTTTTAACAGAGCTCACCTGCGGTGGCACCTGCCTGCAGCAGATTAAACCTCTCAACCATATATTTGAAAGAAAAGCCAACATAGCAAAGAGAATTAGCCCTCCTGCTTGAACCAAGGGCCCTAAACCTGGTTTTAAAGAAACAGAGAACAGCTTTGGGGCTGCAAAATGGAGTGGTGGCAGAAGAGCAGGAGTGTGCTGAAGAAAGAACCAGCAGAGACATCACCAAGGGCTTCTGGAAGATGAGCAGAGAGTAGGTTTAGATACTGGATACTGGAAAAGAATCCTTCCCTGTGAGGGTGGTCAGGCCCTGGCGCAGGTTGCCCAGAAAAGCTGTGGCTGCCCCATCTGTGGAAATGTCCAAGGCCAGATTGGACAGGGCTTGGAGCAACCTGGGCTAGTGGAAGGTGTCCCTGCCCATGGCAGGGGTGGAATGGGGTGGGCTTTGAAATCCCTTCCAACTCAGACCATTCCATGATTCTTTGAATTCAAGGCTTGACTGTGAACCTGCCTATTTTCTTCTGTAAAGGCACAAGTGAGATGGAAGAGGCTATGCCAGAACCCTCTGCCTTGTGCTGTGATTTAGTTGTGCAACAACCCAGCGAGGAGAGAAAGAAATCCTCCCACCACATCACAATAGTGCAGAGTAGAGACATGACAATGAGGATAAACAGGTATTTGGCCAGGAAAAATAGAAGCTCATTTTCCTTATCTTTTTTAAAGTGCCAGCATGAAAAGAAGAACAGAAAGGATGCCCTTTAGAGGAAGCACAGCCCTTTCCTTGCTTTTTAACTGAGGGAGCATCTGCCCTAACAAGGAGGGGAGAATAATGGACTGAGAAACCACAATGTGTTTATTTTCCATTTGTTTGTTTGAAGGATGAAAACAGGTGGATGAAGAATTCTCTCCCTAACCTGTTTAAAAGCTCTGCTCATCCTCTCATCAGTTAACTCCTTTCTGTTCCAGTGAAGGGAAAGAGGCTCCTCTTTCCCTAAACGACTGGGAGCATTAGAATTCCTAATGTATTTTAAGGGAATTTGTAGATAATGTCATAATTTCTTTCTTTCCTCTGAAAAGTTCAAGGTTTTCAGCTAACTCCCTCAGTGTTTTTGTTGGCTGTAACATTCGGATTTGTGAAAGCAGCAGAGAGTGAAGATGTTGAAAAAGCCTCATTCATGCTTTGTACAAATGCTTTAACACAACACAAGGTGTTTTAGAGGAAAACCCTAGTTCTTTTGTCCCAGTTACCTAATTGCAGGTTTCCTTCCCCTTCAGATGCAAAACATCAAAGCCCAAGATCTTGAGTTCTTCCAGCTTTGAATTACATTTAACCCCTTCATATGTCAGATCTGTTTCTCTTGAAAGGGACTGAATGTGCCTTTCATAGAAAATATTTAAGATTTCTAGAGGCTTCATGGGCAGAGCTGTTATTAGTCAGTTGGCAGCAGTGTCACCCTGATGATGGATTATCAGCAGTGAAAGCCCAGCTGGCTGCACACACTTGAAGGATTCGGGTTCCATAAAATTGTGCTGAGAAATTGTCCCTATCGATAGTGAGGCTGGAGTGAGACGGATTCCCAAAGGGACTGGCCTGGACAGCAACAGCCAGAGGTGGGGAAATTTTTGGTAACTGAAACCAAGTCTCCTGCAGCATCTCTAGGTCAAAAGAGCTGCTGGGCTGGACAGCAGGGACCTGTCAATGCTTTCCAGGCCCTAAAGGGCTAAGTCCAAAGGAACAGGATAAAACTAGTCCAAAGCATCTTCCCTCCCCTCTCAACAAACCTTCCTGTTGTTCTTAGGAAGCTCCATGAGGAAACACGTACACGCCCAAAGCCTCCCCTTATACAAGCCTTGACCAGCAAGGATCAGGTTTTGGGGTGGAAGTCACAGGCAGCACTTCAGGGTGAGATCAGACTATAGAAGAATTGTAAAGGGTCAACAAGGGTCAATTGTACAGGCCAACAAGGCCCAGAAGGCTCAAATGGCTTCTCCTGCCTCAGCCAGGAATCCTGGCATTTGTCTCCAACTGCTACATCAACTTCTCACATGTGGAGATGGAACTTGGACAACATTTAGGAGGATGGACATAAGAAGCTCCCTGGCACTGCAGCTCCAAACAGACTTTCCATAGCCCCAGAAATGCTTTGCAAACCCTTTCTTGCCCCTTCCCCATCTGCTTTTCTTCTTCACAGAACTTGTTTTTTATTTCTTGACTCCAAGTTCTGCTTGACCCATAAGCAAAACTCAGATCCTTGACATGGGAAGACAGATTTATCCCAAGCCCTGCTGAAACAAATGGTGACTCTCTTTTAACTCTGCATCTGCTCACCCCATTATTCCTGTGCTGTTCATGCAGAGGGAGCAGTAAATCCACGTTAGCAGTGACTTGCTGTGTCTATGAAGTTTATAAATCATGAAGGGACAGTCCCGTCCTGCATTATTAAAATCTGTTATTACACGCTGGTTCTGAGCTCAGATAAACCCCACCATGCAGCTGTGAGCCATGTGTCATGTTTGTCCGATATAAGAGCTTCTGGTAAGCAAAGAAAAAGGGATATTATAATATCCTGCTAAGAAATCTCGTGTAATATGGAGATGGAGTGGCAGATAATGCAGCCAACTAGAAAACGTTTGCTTGATATGGCTTTGGAAGGAAGAGATAAAGTCGCTGATGGGTGAATCCCGCCCTCCCCTCTGCTGCTTCTCCCTTTAAAGTCACAGGAGAGATTCATGGAGGAGGCTGCAAAGTGCAGAGCAATCCCCCAAAGGAATCATCCAGCACTGCAAAGTATCTTCAGCAGAAATCCTGCCCCAATGCAGTACTGCCATAAAACTTCATTTAGCAGAAGTCCAGAAAAAAAATTCTGTATCTCTTCAGACCCTCTGGTCTTTAGAGCACAATGAATAGACCCATCGAGTGGTTTGGGTTTGAAGGGACCTGAAAGGTCATCTATTGCAAGCCCCTGGCATGGGCAGGGACACCTTCCACTAGCCCAGGTTGCTCCAAGCCCCGTCCAACCTGGCCTTGGACACTTCCAGGGATGGGGCAGCCACAGCTTCTCTGGGCAACCTGCGCCAGGGCCTCACCACCCTCACAGGAAAGAATTACTTTCATGTATCTATACTAAAATTCCCCTCCTTCAGTTTGAAGCCATTCCCTCTTGTCCTGTCCCTTCAGGCCCTTGTCCAAAGTCCCTCTCCAACTCTCCTGGAGCCATTTTAGGCCCTGGAAGGGGCTCTAAGGGTGTCCCCAGAGCCCTCTCTGCTCCAGGCTGGCTGAGGGGCTGCAGTGCCATGATGTTGCCCAGGCCCCAGATAAGGGGTTCCCTCTGAGGTCCCACTCCTCTCATTGCTGACAACACACCCTGAACAGCCCTTCTGATTGTTTGGCAAACACCAACTCTTGTTATCCTGAAGAGAACTGGAGAGCAGAGGAGAAAACAACTCTGTTTCCCTGCGTGCTCCCAGTATCATTTGTGCAGCCTCCTGTTCCCCTCTGTCCTTGTTCCCTTCATCTCCCAGCACAGCAAAGAGGGGAAACCCTTGGAGTTGTCAGTGTGTGCTGAGAAACCACAAAAACTGGCAAAGGGACAAAGGGCCAAGTTTAGTCCTTTAAATTATCATGAGCTCATTTTTAAAGTGTGAAAGGAATGGTAGGCAGCCGGCCAGCTTTCCTTTGGAAATGGGCTTTCCCAGGGAAAGTGTGGAACTGCTGGGGGAGGCTGCTGGCACCTGCTCTACCTGTCCCACTGCCCCCCAGATACCCCACCCTGCACCCACCCAAGGCTGGGAATACCCCTCACCACGAATCAGAGCAATAAACCCTCAGCCAGAAGGAAAACAGCACTTACAATTCCTAGATTTCCAGTGGTTAGAAAACTGGAAAACTGATGTTTTCCTCCCGTTATGGTGTTTGACATGTCAGTCAACAGGGTTTGCACACACTCACACACATAATTGATGCTGGATTTTAAATACAGTGCATGGCACACAATTTACTTACTTCATTTATTCCGTGGTACCTTAAGGCTTTATCCCTGTTTGCCCATTTTTTCCACCCCATGCCTCATTTGCTGGTGACAACAGACAGAGTCATTAGGCCTGCGATGTGCAAGGACGGCTTCCAGCAGCAGCACTCGCAGCTCTGTCTTTGCCCATATGCCCAAAGATTTGTTCAAAACCAGAATTTTTGAGTAATTTATGACTGTTTTTCCCGTGATACAGGTGGTTTGTTGATCTGTTTAATCCAAGTACCCCTGGTCTCACAGAAGAAAATACTTCTCTTTTTTGTGCTGCTCATTTACAGACTCCTCCGAGCACGAGACTGTGCTGCCTATTACCTTAATTGACTGATTTTTTAACAAGTTTCTGTCTATAGAGAACAAAAATAATTTCAAAAATGCTTGATCAGCTTCAAGTTTTCTCATCTTCCCTCTCTCAGGACACCTATTGCTCATTCTTACCTCACTCACCTAAAGGTGACTTTGAAGGTCATATCAGATGAAGTTCAGCTATTTGAGGTTCAGGCAACGAAAAGTGCCAACATTTACACAGGGACACCTCTAATCTGCTCCAAGCAAAAGCCACAATATTTAGATATAAGTTGCCAGTCTCATTATTTCAGAGAATTTTTTTTCTCCTGCTGAAGCCAATAAGGATGCTACTGCTGGTAAAGGGAGAACAAAGTCCAAAGGACACAGTCATACAACTTTTAATCTTCATAATTTTTTTTTTCTAACTACAATAAATCAAAATGAACTCAAACCTTTGCTGTTCCACAAAGGAGAGCCTAGATGCATTCTCAGAAAAGCTCTTTCACTATAATGAGGAGCATAGAATAACCAACCATGACCAGAATCAAACCACGTTAAAATCTGAAAGGAGAAATGACGACTGTGAGTCCTTTCTGAAGCATCAGGACTGGTGCATCAGGACACAGCTAAAGGAAATTAAAAGTTACCCAGGAACCTGCTCAGATAAACAAACTGCATTAGACCCAAACTACAGCCTTTCAGCTGTGCCTCAGAGCTCTTTGAATTTAAGTTCATACATATTACAAGTGCTGCAGAGTCTTTACAGCCTTGGTAGCATGCAAAGCCTCTGGGAAGGAGTTCTTGGCACGGCGTTTATTTCCCATCATGGCCTCATGGCTTGTGTCCCTTTTCCATCCAAGCTTGTTCTGGCCATGCAAGGGGAGGGCACTCCCCATAGGTCCCTGCATTCCCTAAATTCTCTAGGAGCTGGAAAATACAGCTCCACAGGATGAGATCCCACGGTCAGGGACACTGCTGGGTGCTCAGGGAGAGCTGCCTGGCTGCACAGGGACAGGAGTTGGATACCCCATGGACCCCAGAGGGGTGGGAGACCCGTGGTGACCCAGACATGGGGTTACACCAGATTTTGCCTGAAGTCAGAGCCTACAGGCCGTGCCCAGGGGCACAAATTTCACAGACAGAAGAAAAGACATTTTCAATCATTTCTTTTAGGAAACTGCAACAAAATCCCAATGCTGGCATTAAAACACAGCCAAACCTCTCATTTCCCACTTGACAAGAGCTTTATTCTTCAGCTGCTACAAATAATAAAGAAACCGGTGATGTTCCTGCTTTAATATAACTTTTCCTGCACCTGCAATTATTATGCTTCATTTTCCTGTTCCAGTGTGGCAGAGCAGTCAAGGGAAGGCTCTTGGCCAGGTGTGAGAAGTGGGACATGGTGGTGATGGGGATGATTGTGATCGGATTTATTGCTAATACAGTGTCTAAATATTGCCAGAGCAGTATCCAAATAACAAATAATCTATTACAAGGGATTATGGTGTCATCAACTCCTGGTCCCTTCTGGTGAGTCACAAGCTCCACGAGCACCCCTGTCAGTGCCTGAATTGCTCAGAGAAGCCCAGGCCTGGATCAGTTCCCTTTGGCCCAGGTTTGGTCACAGTCTGTGCCTAAAGGGTTATATATCAGCAGGCCTGGCTGGAAACACACAGATTTGCACTTTGGTCTTGCAGAATTCACAATTCAAAAGAAAAAAGCCCCGTGGAGCTACTTCAGGATTTTATCTCTGTATTTGACTGGATCTTGGCACTTTTCACTCCCCCATCCAAAAGCAAGTGTTCCCCATCTTAAGGCTGGAATGTGTCCCTGCCAGGAGGGAGACCCACCCAGGAACTGCCTGCAGCCTGGAGACACCAGTGTGTCCAGTTGGCCCAGTCTCCATCAGTGTTTCATACCCTTTTGTATGCAGATGTGCCCCAAAATCCATCAGCTCCCCCCTCTTTGGAATGCACTAAAGTTGAGAGCATCCAGATAGTTCCTCCTTGAGACAAACCACATTCCCATCAGAGAGTGTGGAAAGCGAGAGGGGGCTGGAGCAGAGCCTGCCTGGAGTATGGTGTCAGCCTTCTTTAGGGTCGTAATTTCCTCTTCCTGGTGAAACCAGGACATCTCCCATTTGGCAACAGGGGGTTTCATGTAAAGCACTCGATGAACCACCTCAGTAGCTCCCAAGAGTGGACCAGACTCTCCTTGATTTGCTCCTGATTTATATCAACATCAAGACAGAATCATACCCAGAGCCTTTACATAAATAGAGGATTTTTTTTCCCAAATAAATACACTTTCAGGAAAGTTTTATCTGTTCTCAGGAGCGATTAACTTTCCTTTAGACCCTTCTGTCTCAAAAATAGCACTTTTAGCATCATCCTTAGCATAGAATGAAGTGAGAACAAAACCTTATGGGAAGACAAATGCTACCCGGGGGAAGAGCCCTTCTGAGATAAACTGCACATTTTCTATCCTTAACAAAATCCTGATCAAGTCTCCTGAGCTGGTCCCTGCCGGGTTCATCACACACACTCTTCGTTGTTATTTCAGAATCTAAGGCCGAAACAGCCCCCAAACAGCTTTTCTGTACAAAAGCAAATCAACCACAGTCCATATACAAAGTGAGACTAATTTACTTGTCCTTAATTAATCACCTTCATTTCCCCCTCCTTAGCCTGAGCCAATGAGGTGTAAATTGCTGGGGCAGATGCACTTTCTGGGCTAAATTCCAAACTAAATGTTCTTCAGAAAGTGAGGAGGCACTTAACACATCCCATTAAATCCACCTCATCCTGAGGGCTTTGGTGACGTTATTTTACCCATATTCTTCCTAATCCGATTTTGGAAGATTTTGTACCCTGAGATCAAAGTCCTGAGCTCAGCAAAGAGCAGAGGTTGATCAGTCAGAGCTTTAGTGGTTCAGGAACACGAACCAAGGCAGCCTGGACCAGCCCTGGCTCTTCAGTTACAAATCCTTTGGAGGGAATTTAATCTGAGATTCCTTTATGTCCCAAACTTCATGTTCATCGAAGTCCAGTTATTTGTGGGTTCCTCAGCAATGAGGAGCACAGTGAGGGCCTCAGATAGACACCAAAGGTAGTTCTGATCCCAAATACCACCCACCATTATCAATTCAAAATCTTGTTCTTGGTATTTGCCAGATTATCACCTTGATTACTGTACAACCTTCACACTGTGTGTGACCAGGGCCATCAGTGAAAGGCAATGGCAGGGAGGGGGTTTCATTTAAATTTCCATGAGACACAGTTTTTTTTATTCCTGGCTTCACCACAAAAGCTCAGTTTGGATATTTTCATTGTCTATCATGGAATCCCAGACTGGTTTAGGTTGGAAGGGACTTTGAAGACCATTCAGTTCCACACCCTTCCTTGGGCAGGGACACCTTCCACTAGACCAGGTTGCTCCAAGCCCCGTCCAACCTGGCCTTGGACACTTCCAGGGATGGGGCAGCCACAGCTTCTCTGGGCAACCTGTGCCAGAGTCTCACCACCCCCAAAGGGAACAGTTTCTTCCCTACATTGAATTCAAACCCACCCTCCTTCACTGAAGGCTGTTCCCCCTTGTCCCATCACTACATGCCCCATGAGCCACTGTGCCCTCCCACCCTCTGGGGATCACTCCCAGTGAGTTTTTTTATTCCCTGACTGTACAAAAGGCAGAGCCCTTCCCTGCAGGGCTGAGTGATTGCCAGTCCCACACTCATTTCCAGGATTATATTTGCAACTGGGATCTCTGGACAGGCAAATGAGGAGCCTGCACGTTTCCCCACATCATTCCCACATCAGTGTTCAATCACACCAGCTACATAAAAACACAGCACAAGGCTGGAGCTGTGGCCCCACAGGGAACCTTTCTGGGTGTGTAACAACTTCATCACAGCCACTGATTTCCAGTGACAGACCTCATGCTGAGGGAAGTTCATATATTGTCGTTAATTGCAAAAAAAAACATACTTAGAAAGTGTAGTCAGGCAAATATTTGGAGTCTGAGGATTTAAGAGAGGCCCATTTGCTGGAAGCATCATTATATTCAGCACTGTGAGATCAATGCCATATATTTGAATTAAACATGCATTAATCCCCCTATAAAGGACTGTAGCCATCCAGTCAATTTTCGGATTGTAAACACAGCTTTTTTTAATACAGTAAAAATAAAGCATTTCTCTTTCAGCCCTAACTCTGATGACGGAACCTGTTTCAAGCACAGCTCTTTAGTTGCCACCATACTGTAATTATTCATCAAACTGACAGAATAAAGATCCTTTTTATCCATCTTCTATTTTATCCAGAAACATTCTGGTTGTTTGAGAGCAACAGCCTCCGACAGTGTCAGGACATTGCTGATGATACTGGCAATAAATAAATACTGGCAATTCTGGCTGGAGGGGAAGGCAGAGCCTTTGCTTGTGCTATACATTACCCACTACTCCTCCTTACAGGGTAAGGAGCATGGTAATATTAAATAATTAATCTTTTAAATGTATGTATTCCCCAGCCTTACAATTCTATAGGTGAGATCCTCATACTCTACAATATTTTAGTTTCAGCAAACTCTCTCTAACTGAGAGTTTCTCTCTTTCTAATTGAGTTTGCAGTGCTGGAAGGGGTTTAACCAGTCCCACCTCAGTGTGGTGGGAGCTGGAGGTCACCCATGGGTGTGAGACCTGTGCTGAACCAACACCACTGGGCCAAAGCAAACCAGAGCTGTAGCTGCATGGAGGGAGTGGCACGGCAGAGGAATGGGGGACTGTACTTACAGCACATGGGTTGGGTTGTTTGCAATTCAGGAAAAGAAATCATTATTGGAGATCTTAGTTCTGTCATTTGGCAGCTGAGCTGTGCTTTCCTTTCGGTAAGGGCAGTAGCCTGGCTTTGAAAATTTACTCTTCTGAAATCAGCAAGGTGTTAAAAAATAAAGTTGGAATGTATTGCCTGGGAAAGCCTGAGGGCAAATAGAATTATGGAATGGTTTGGGTTGGAAGGGACCTTAAAGGTCATCTATTGCAACCCCCTGCCATGGGCAGGGACACCTTCCACTAGCCCAGGTTGCTCCAAGTCCTGGCCTTGGATACTTCCAGGAATGGGGCAGCCGCAGCTTCTCTGGGCAACCTGTGCCAGGGCCAGGCTCATTGTTGTGAGATCATCACAGGCTCCTAATCACAATTCCTTGTTTCATGTGTCACACAGCTGGGTGACAGTGACAACTTTGGCTTCATGGACCACTAAGACATAGAACACCTCTGCTGAACTCAAGGAGCTGAGGACTGTGCTGCTCTGTCCCTCCCCATCATCCTGGAACCTGAAGGAATGAGGAGCTGAGTTTTTGCAGGGACTGGGTGTGACAGCTGATGCAACAAGAAAACAGCCAGTGAAGGCATCAGAATCCATCATCCACAGCACTCATTTCACGGGCCTATAGACCAACCCTCCTGCTACAAAACCATCCATCTCAGTAATTGCAAAATCCATTAAAAACAAGCAGGAGCTGCCACCCAACATGAGCGTTGGTTTTATTTACCTCATATTACAAAGGCAATTTGAAATTACATCCATTTGAATTTTAATGGTGTGAGTGTGGATGGGCTGGAGACAAACAACACAGAATCTGTGTGGGTTATAATCACTGTAATTTGTATGCAAGAAAAAGTTGATGAACTTTAAGCATTTTGTTGTAAGGAGGCTGGACAAACCCTCAGCTGGAGCTCACACTTGCATGACTCATTTTTCATGTTGACCAGATTCACTCCTAGTGTGGAATTCCATGGAAACATTATTCCATAGTCTTCTCCTTATACTGAAACTGAGTTGTGTGTTTTCCTGAGCTCTGCAGGTTTTATAAGCAGCTGCAAATCCCCTCCAATGGCAGCATTTTTGTTCTGCCATTTATCAACCTCTGAAAAAACTTTACAGATATTATTCAACTTACAGGTACTACTGAAATGGTAACATTAAAACTAATAACCATGTATATATAATAACATATATATAACATGTGACATAGCCTTGTTATAAGAACTGATCTTTTTTTGCCCAAAATTTATGTATTTTAAGGATCACGTGGCACTACAGTGATGAGTTTTCCTTGCCATGACTGTGATCTGGCTACGGTAGCAGTAAATGATGCTCACCTAAAATTGGTGCCAAAATTCTGCCAAAAATTTAATCTATTCCTATGTCACAGATTAAAATAATAGAAAAGTATATTCCAAATTGCTATAGTAAAGTTTTAATGTTATGGTGAAATATTGCTATAGAGCAGCTTTAAATGTCAGTACTAAAACAACCACAAAAATTCTGCAGGACCACTCAGAAAAGGTTGGATACCTCAGAGCCAAATGTTTCATGGCAGCTTTTTGTCAGATCACCTGGACTGGGAAGAGTTTAAAAGCAGGACCTCCTTCAGTGTAATGGTTGTCACAGGCTGAGGATTTACAGTGTCATTTATTGAATTTATCGCTGGGCATTGATATTTCCTTTACAGAATTTAGAGCAAGGAAAAGCAAATTTCCTATTTGAAAAACATATCTCCTATTTGAACAGAAGTAGAGAACACATAACCCATTTTCAAATTTAACTGCTCAGTGCAACACAATTACTTATTTGGCTGTGAATTTCAATTTTGAGGTTGTTTCCGAAGCCTGAAACCCCATCGTTTGCATGGGGAGCAGTGAGGGCTGGGGGGTTATGGCATCACTGCAGAGCACACATGTCCTTGGGCAAAACCCTGTGTGTGTGTGTGTGTGTGCACATGTGAGGATGTATCCTAGAGCCCACAGGGAAAGTCTGCCCATGAACACTCACAGATCCGTCCAGGATGGCACAGGAAACTGTCTCTCCTTGGAGAAGCTGACTCTCCTTGGAGAAACCATCTCTCCTTGGAGCACATCTCCAAGGTACTTGAATATCCCTTTGCATCCCAGATGGTTTGGGCCGACACTTTCAGGTGGACTCAAGGATCTAGGATTTCCAGTTCCCATCATTACCCAGGACTGCAGATAAAAATAATAATAGTAATCAATATCAGGCAAAGAGCAGTGAACACTCTGGAGAGCTGGGCTTTGGAAAATATTATGTAGCTGACTCTAATCCCCACCCAAAATTGCACTGTTTATTTGCAGCTGAGCTTGTACCTTGTCCTCACTCCCCTGTAAGGAAACCCTGAAATCTCCCTGTGACCAAATATTGCCAATATCGACCAGCACAGCCAGAAGTGGGGGATATAAAATAAAGCCACCCTGAGCTCAGGCTTTATGAGACACATAAAGGAGCCAAGGAAGAGTTAGATCTCCATCAAATAACTCTTCCCAGGGTGGCTGTGGAGTTCCTGGCCCTGCTGACTCTGCACAGCCCCAAAAGCCCACCCTGGAGGCACCGTGGTGGTGGGAGATTCCTGGCCAACAACTATAAATAAATTTTCCCCTCCTTTGCTGAATTTGTTTGAATTTAATGTTTCCAATCATAATCATATAAGAGTATATACTCTTATAGTTCATGTTTTACAAGCAAACAAAAAAATATCCACACACCTGTTGCACCTGAATTTGTGCAGAGCTGGCAGGGTCAGGATTGGCACAGCCACCCGTGGGCTTGGGCTTGGCAGTGAGAGGTGCAGGAGAAGTCAGGGGGCACTGGGGGGATCCTGTTTGACAGCCTGACAGCACTGCCTACACCTCCTGCTTCTCATGCCATGGAGAGAAGGGAAACAGAGGGAACAGAAGCGTCCTCTGCCACCCAAATCCTCTGGGAAGACGTTTCTCACACCACTAGTTCCAAAGCAGGTTTCACACCATTGACCGTATTTCCAGAATGAGCTTTTCTGCAATTTGCACAGAGGTATATTTTATAGTGTTACACATACAGTAAATCATGGAATCATAGACTGCTTTGCATTGGAAGGTATCTTAAAGCACATCCAGTCCCACCCTGTGCCATGGGCAGGACCTTCCAATGTCCCAGGTTGCTCTAAGCCCCATCCAACCTGGCCTTGGACACTTCCAGGGATGGGGCAGCCACAGCTTCTGGCAACCTGTGCCAGGGCCTCACAGGAAGAATTCCTTCCCCATATCCCATCTAACTCTGCCCTCTAGCAGTGGGAAGCCATTCCCCTTTGTCATGTCCATGATATATGAATAGACTCCATTATATATAAGTAGGCAGATACACTTGAGACAACACCCTTAAAACTAATTCTGTGAGCAGAGTCCCCAGTGCCCCCTCCAACCCCAGAAAACACAGCTGCTCATCCCCCTTTCCCTGTCCCCCAGGCTCCAGGAGTGACATCTGCTCCAGCCAGCTGGGGAATTCAAACATAATTACTGAGCAGGCACGAGGTGCATCTGTTATTAACATATTGATTAATTGTATTCAAAGGATACCAAGTGACATTGAAAACTTCAATGGCTTTGTTTCCAGCACAAACCAAAAATAAACTGCAACCCCTCCCAAATCCCCCCTGTGCACT